GGGATCGAACTTGGGTCCTTGTGCTTGCAAGGCAGGAGGCAGAACCACTGAGCTAAATCCCCTGCCCTTGATTTCATTTTTTATTTTTTTATTTTTTGGTACTGGGGATCAAACTCAGGACCTTGAGCTTTCGAGGCAGGCAGCGGTACCACTGAGCTAAATCCCTGGCCCCTCTTGATTTCGTTTTTAATGGATAGTATTTTAAAAACTTCTTAGTAGTTTCTAGTAATTTTGAAGTATTGTCAAAGTATTTTATAAACTTAACTTTTATCTGAAGCAAATCCATGTTCTGATTATTGATTTGTTGGTATCTTTTTCTGAATTTGCTTTCTGCCTTGTATTTTGGAATGTTGATGTGCTGCTTTATTCTAAGGAGAATGTCTTGGTTGTTTTGTTCTCTTCTCTCTGCCTTGTCCATCAGTGTTTCAGTCTTGTGGATAATCTCACCGGACAAAGCATTAGACAGCAATCCCTTTATCCTTGGGGCATTCAACCTAAGACCCATAAGGGATGCCTGAAAGCTTGCACAGCACCAGAACTTACACACACACACACACACGCATACACGCGCACACGCACACACACACACAATTTATCCTATACATATGTAATAGTAACAGTGTAGATTTTAGCAACAATTTTTCCCTTTCCTTTTAGGTCAAGAACTTTTACCTTTTCTCTTAAAGGAAGCACTTTGTGGCTTCTCTTTGGCAGATCTGAATTGCCAGTGCCACTATTCTTGCTCTTTGGGGCCATTATTAACTAAAATAAGGGTGACTTCAACATAGGCACTGTGATGCTAGTACAGTTGGTCTGACAGCCAAGACAACTACAGGATGGATAGGTAGTGTATACGGCATGGATACGCTGGGCAAGGTGCTGACTCACACTCCACACAGGATGGGGCAGACAATGAATTTTCATCACACTATTGAGAGGGGGGTCACAATTTAAAACTTACGAATTATTTATTTCTGGAATTTTCCCCTTAATATTGTCAGACAGTGGTTGACCATGGGTAACTGAAACTTCAGAAAGCAAAGTTGTGGATAAGGGGGACACACACAAATATACAATTCAGTACTGTCTGTGCTATCAAGAGTCCACTGAGTGTCCTGGAATGAATCCCCCGTGGATGGAGAAGAACTGTGTTTCAGACTACAGATTCTGTCCTGTGGTGATGCTAGCAAAACCCTAGGCCTAGACAATAAGCCAGCTTCGGGACTTTGATTAATTTGAGTTCATTGCCCAGCCTTCTCTTCAGATCCAGAACCTCAAATAAACCCACTTTTCAGACAGTGGACCAGGCTTGTTTCAGCCATATTTCCCAACCAATAATGTACATCTTGACACCTGACTTTGAGCAGAGATGTGGGGACCAGTCCTCCATCTCACACAGAATATTTTAGTCCTGTTCCCTTGTAAAAGCCAAACTCCCAGGTTCTGTTCCTTCTCTGGCTCCCATGCTTAGCTGCCTTGTGGCTTCTGCATCATTTACTCCATTGTCCTTCTGTTTTGTGTCTGGTCTCAATAATATTTAGGCACAGCTTCCTTCCATGCTGCTGATTAAGATGTTGGGGCCTAGAGAGTGGAAGTAGCTTTCCTAAGATTCACCTCCAGATGTCCGAGTGTGCTGTGCCCTGAGCCTCTGGACTTGGATCTTCCTTACAGGGTCGATGTGAGAAGAACTAAGCCAGGCAGCTCAGGGTCAGTACAGCCCCCAGGCTGGTCAATGTGGCCAACTGGGGTTCAACAGATGTTCTCCACATGGGTTTCTGGGGTGCAATAATGGGAGCTATTTTCTCTTTGAACACCCAAGGACATTTCTAACATAATAGGAGAGAATTCTTAAAATGTGGAGGCTGGAACAGAACTATTTTACAAATTATCTACCTCCACGTGTGGCTTGTCACCTTGACTTCCAGCTGAAGTGCAAAATGAAAATACCCTGTAGCCATCTCCTTCTCAGGCCTGCCAGCCTGGAAAGGAAGGCTGAAGAAACAGACACTGAGGCTTTATGACAGAGGGTCCGGAAAACCACATGTTGTGTCCCTGAGAGAAAAGTTACCTATGTCCTTCGAGAACAAATGAGAAAGCACAAGAGTCAACAAATGAATTGTAGCCACCAACCTTTACTGAAGGAGGGCTCCCTGGAGACCAGCGGGCTCTTCTCTTTGTATTCTTTTGTTTTGTCCTTGGAATAGTCCTGGGAGGGAGTATTTTATAGGTGAGAAAACTGAGAATTGAGAGGCAGCATCTGCAGTGATCGGAGTAGTGGGAGGGAGCTGGCATTCATGCCTGGCCCCACCCTGGAGCTGTGCAGATGGTGTGGCTGACAAAGAAAGCCACAGTATTGCTGTTTTTCCATTCCAAATATGACACACTTCTAGGTGAGCAACTGCCGAAGCATTTTCCCAAACACAAATGTCGCATCTTCCCCTGTCCAGTAGAGGGATTTGGGGTGCTTTTGTGGGGATCTTGAAGCCTTTGAGATGTGTGTCTTAAGCACCATGGTGAACCTCCACACCAGTGGGCCAGTGCTGGTATAGCCTGCAAGTCACAGTGCCTGGCAAGCAGCAACAATTGCTGTGATAAACTGTGGTAAACTGAATGGGGCACTGGGAAAGGGATGATTTTCCTAAACATCTCCCTGCTATAGTCGTTTTCTCAGGAAAACCTGTACAACCCACACCTCTGTCCCTCTGCTGAGAGCAGGAGCATGTTCCACCCTCCTCCTGCTCCCCAGGGCCTTGCCTGTTGGGGCAGCCTCATCTAGGTCATACAGACCTGGGCATTGGCTCTGATCTGGCCCAGCCAGTCCCGGGGCCACAGCAGCAGCCTTCATCTCTGAAATGCTGTCATCCAATGTGGCTAGAAGAGAGGAATCTGAGTGTTCTCATCTTGGAGAAATGTTAAGTGCTGGGGATGATGGAAGCTCTGTGTCCTGAACTGATAGATACACGGCATGGAGGCATACTGGAACATTGTCCTATACCCCACTAACAGGCACAGCCATTATGTCATAATAAAAACCTGAGACATGTATAAAGAGCCTGGTTTCCTCAGTCAAAACAAGCAAGAGATGAAGCCTCAGTACTATGGTCTGCATCTGCCTGGAATGGAAGCGGGAGGAGAAGCCAGGGGCCTTTTGCTTCTGAGAAGAGGACCAGGCCTACCATGGGGACAAGAGGATGAGGGAGGGCTTGGCCAGGGCAGCAGGACAGAGAAGCCGTGGAAGCCAAGCACATCTGAGGGAGATTTTTAAAAAAATTTTGTTGACATACAAGAATTGTACACTAAGGGGCATAGTGGGATGTTTGAATACACGTGTATGTTGGACAATGATCAAATCAAGGTCACTAGCAAATCTGTTGCTCCAGCATTTGGCATTGCTTTGTAATGAAAACATTTAATACCCTCTCTCCGAGCTAATCTGAAATATGCAGTGTGTCACTGTTAACGACAGACACTCACCCTTTGCTTGGTCAGTGGGTGCGAAGCGATGAACACTGGGGAGGAATGAGTTCTAGCGTCCACAAGGACTCCATGCATACTGTGGAAATGCCACTGAAGTCCTCTCACTTCTCCTTAAGGAAAACTCTACAAGTTCTCCTCCAGGGGGTGGGCTTATCTGGAAGTGTCCCAAATAGGGGAGCAGCTTGCTTCTTTCTTGAGAGGTGGCCCAGCCACAGCTATGCTGGCAAGGGAGGATTCTATCTCCTGAGCACACACTGTTGTGCCTGGTGGCTGAACCTTTTGGCCCATGGGAGAGGAAGTCCAGCTCATGCTGGCCTATGGAAAGAGAGGGCAAATTTGGGGTTTGGTGCAGTAGGGCTGGGCATGGAGCCCCTGGTGGCCAGGCTCACCACGGTTTGGGGAGGCAGCCAAGATGACAGCCCCTGACTCCCCCAGGGGCCAAAAGAGAGAGCCACATCTTCCCTGCTTCATGTCAGAGCTTTTCCAGCCACAGGACCTGAGGGAGCAGGTTTTCTCTGGCAGGTCAGGTGACCCCCAAAGGCAGATACCAGGAACCTGTCAGCAATCCCTCTGCTAGTGCTCTACCTGCAGCAGGTTCAGAGTGACTGCTCACTTCCAGAATGCAACACCTGGTTCTCTGGGGTGCTGGTTCATGTGACCATGGGACATTGACCTGGTGACACATATTGAGCCAGGCTCCGGGTAGGAGGGACTGAGATGTGAAGATGACCTGAGGTGCCCTGCAGCCTCTCCAAAGATAGGCGCACACAGATACAAGGTGCCACAACTTCTGGGGAAAGGGCTTTGGGGGAGCAGAGCAGGAGCCCGAGTTCTGCTGGGATGGCAGGGCAGGGTGTGGGATGATGGGAAAGAGGCATTTGAGTTGGGTAAAGGGCAAAGGACCTGGCTTGCTGGTCACCAAGGGCTGCAGGGTGGGCAGTGGACAGTGGAGAAGGTGGCCCTGAACAGAACCACATCATGGACTGATGTTTGGGAGCTGGTACAGAGATAGGCTCAACAACACTTCCAAATATCAGAGCAGGAAGTGCCAATGATTATAGCAGAGAGAAAAAACTTTATAAGACAGTCAAAGACACAGCCAAGACACTGGGCTTATTTTTTCTTTTCTAAAGAAAACCACTGAGGTTATGTCAGATGTTTTGGAAGCATTTTTCAGAAAAAGGAAACTAGATGTCTCTCCAAGGACAGTTTCCAGCACACCCAAGGCTGCAGTGCCTCAGTGCCGCATAGCTTTAGTGCTTTCTTCAGAGAGTACAACAGTCAACAAGTCATTCTGGGTATTTTTCCATTATGAATTGGGGCATTTAAGTCATTTAACCCATTTCCCCAGTGGTGGCACATCTCCAGTGCATGTTTAAATGACTGGAACACTTTAAAGAGGAGAATCAGTCACGTCTTGGCTCCTGGTCACCAGCTGCTCTGAGCCTCCATTGGTGTTACTTAAGCTCTTGCTTGGATTCTGATGATGTTTTAAATTTGTTGCATGAGACTGGTTTATCCATAATGGCTCTATTAGTTGTATGTCGTCTACTGTAGTTGATGTAGACTTCAGAAGGTCAGTTTTGGGAGAGTTAAAAAAATAGCTTGAGTGTTTCCCCAGGGATCATTGGACTTGGGGTCCATGGATGTGGGCTCTGCTTCCATACTGGGCCAGTTCTGACCTGAGTGGGCCAGCCTGGTCCACTGAGGCTCAGGTTTACCATCTGCCAAGTGGAGAAAAATGCTGTGTAGAAACAGGTAAGTCTCAGGTGAGGATTCAGTGATACAAGTTAATTAAGAGATTAGATCACCAAAATATCATTGAAAGGGCCGGGGATTTAGCTCAGTGGTTTCGCCGAATGCTGCGCAAGCGCAAGGACCCAAGCTCAATCCCCGGTACCCCCAAAATAAATAAATAAACAAAATATCACTGAAAGATCTCAGCTTCTTGGCTATTATTATTATTATTATTATTATTATTATCATTGAGGTATCAGGGATCGAACTCAGGACCTTGTACAGGTGCGGTGCCACTGAGCTAAATCCCCTGCCCTATTTTTTTATTATGTACCAACAAAATTGTGTGTGTTCATTGTAAAGAAAATTAAGCAAATATAAAATGAAAAGAAAGGTTTTCTCCTTCTCTACTCTCCTACCTATTCACCTTGCTCTTGGGCAACCCTGGCAAGAGTATTTTTCCTCTCATTCTTTTGTGTGTGCAAATGTGTGTACATGGGGCTGGGGATGTAGCTCAGTGGTGCCATGCCTGCTTGGCTTGCATAAGGTTCTGTTTCTTTTTCTTTTCCATTAAGTTTATTGGTACATTTTAGGTATATAATACAGTTACATTCATCATTGGGATCTTGTACCATTACATGAGTATCTTAGTTCTTATTTTTTCCCCCATTCCCCTGCCCTCCCTTCACCCTCTCCACCCCGCCTTATTTGCAAAGACTTTGTTTCCATTTTTTTCCTTTTCTCATATTTTTTCTTTTCCTGTCTTTCCTTTCCCCTACCCCTCCCACTTCCCCTGCTCCTTTAGACCTTTTCTTCCTATTACACAATATTAAGTATACATTTTTAAAATTATAATATCAAGATCTAGAAGACATTACCACAGATTTTACAGAATTTAAAAGGATATAGAAAGCATATTACAAAAATATTTTTTGAAATAAATTTGACAACTTCTCTGAAGTACCTTGGAAGATAAATTAATGCAACTGACTCTGGAAGAAATATAAAATTTGAATAGCACCTATTAAAGAAAGTATATTCCTAGCTTGAAAACCTACCTATATGACAACAACAGGCTCATACACATTTTAACTGATGATACACATTTTAAATGTTTGATGATGTATCAAACATTTAAAGCAGAAAAGCAAAGGAACACTTCTCCCCACATTTTAGGAAATCAACATTGTGCTAATCCTAAAACTGGATAAAGGTAGTAGAAGAAAAACGTATGAAGATAGATAGAAATTTGTTTAATAAAACAAACTATTAGAAGTCAGATCTGGCAGTATGTAGAAAGTGGTTTTATTATAGGGATGGCAGTGTTGGTTCAGCATTGGAAGATCCACCCCCAAAAGTCATCATTTTAACCGAAGAAAGGAAAAAGCCATATGACCCTGTCAGTAGTTGCAGAAAAAGTATTGGACTAAATTCTACAGCTGTTCATGGTAAAAGCTATCAGGAGACTAGAAGTAGAACAGAAACTTCTCAACAGATTAAAGACATGTACTCCACACTTCCAGTGAGAACGCCTTATATGAATGGAGAAGATACAATGCTTTCTCCCTAAGGTGGGGAACAAGGGCAGATATGCTTACTCTTTATCTGTCCATTAAACTTTGAAACATAGGCCCAAATCAAAATAGTCTGGCAATAAAAAGAAACAAATAGCATAGGGTTGGCAAGGTAGAAGAAAATCTTTATATGTAGATCAAATGATCATCTACAGAGAAAATACTAAGAAATCTCTAGGAGCCCCTAGAACTTGTATTTGAATTTAGCAGGATTAGAAAACACAAGGTATATATAAAAATTCAGGTCTATGTATACTAAGCATAAGGCTGAGTTCAGTTTCCGGTACTGGGGGAAAAAAAGGGTATATATAACCATATGCACACAGCAGAGAATTAGTGTATTTGTGATGTGGACATCTTTGCAGAACTAGTACATATAGCTAGATATAAACACTACTTCATCGTTTTAAAATTTGCTCACATACTGTGAAGGAAGGAGTCAACTGACTTTGGTAACGATTGATTGGTTCCAGTACTAGCGATTGAACCCTCGGCTTTCTCACTGAAACACATCCCCAGCCCTTTTAAAATGTTTTATTCTGAGATAGGGTCTCACTAAGTCACTAAGTTGCCCAGGCTGGGCGTGAACTTTTGACATTCCCAGAGTGCTGGGATTACAGGTGTGCACTACCACGCACAGCTAAGTAACAGCTTGTTGAAATATAATCCACACATACAATTTATCTGTTTGGAGTGTCCAGTGAGACAGATTTTAGCACGCGCACAGATTTGGATAGCCAGCACCACAGTCAGTTATGAGACATTCCAATGAGGTCGAAAAGGAATGCCCTACTCCTCAGCTGTCACCTTCCAGCCTTTCTTGTGGGCCTTGTAAGGACTTTTAATCATAAGAGAACTTTGCGTGTCACTGAGACCATGCTAGACCTTAGCACTGACTTTTTTTTAAATGAAAATTATTTTAATGGGCATGAAATCATTGTGAGTTTGATTTGCATTACCCTGTTGACTAATGATGTTGAACATCTCACTTGCTTCTTCACCATTTGTGTATGTTTTATTTTTCAAAAAAAATTTCCAGATCCTTTGCCTATTTTATAGTTGGGTTTTGCCTTTTTTCATTTT